TCTCTCTCTCTCTCTCTCTACTACAATATTACAATTGAAAGTTTAAAACATAATGAAAAAGCTTTTTGAGCTTTTTGTGGGCACAGATTTGAAGCAATTGTACTTTTCTCTATACTGTGCATTATTACTTTATATGAGACATAGACTTGATAATCCAAAAAGTTTAATGTCTGATGATGTGGGTCAATTTAATTAAAATGTGCCTCATCTGCTGTTTATATTGTTGGATCATTGTTGCAGATATAAATGACATAAATTGAAAAATATCACAGATTTTCTGACATAATAACAGGTCATAATTATTTATAATAGGGATAACCTATTCCCTAGCATATATAATTTCCTCCATCTCCCCTCTTTAATTAAATTTATTTTTATTATTTAAAGAATATTAGTTTATAGTATGTTAATTAAAATATTAATGTACCCACAGAACCTAATACTCTTTATTAGTGATCAGCTGATATGGGTTTAATGGGCCAATATAATTCCATTATTCCATGCAAAAAAAAATGCAGATGTGTGTGCAGACCTTTTTTGTTTATTTGCCATGTGGGCACAGGCATCGATGCTGATTATTTCAAACTAATGCTAGTTAATTGGCACAATTAATCGTCTATCACTTGTGTGTTTCATCACCCAGTACCCCAATAAGAACGTAGCACTGGTGGCGTCTGATATCCTTCACCTCCTGATCAGTCATGTGGATCATCTTCAGAAATTCCCCCCCGACACTCCAAAGAAGATCGTAGAGGTGAGTCATAAATTACTGTACACTTCTGAAATGTTATTGGAATATGTCCAAACACTGGCTTTATTTATTATTCATCAAGTCACAATTAGCGTGTCCAAACATCCTCATGGATTAAATCGTATGATGTAAAGCGAAGGCCTCATTTAAATACACTGAATCCCTTTTAAAATTTCCATTCATACTGTTGTATTGTTTGTTGTTATATCTTTTAAAAAAAGAAATTAGAATTTAGATATTAGAATTTGGATAAAAAATTCTTTTATCTTTTTGTAGCTGTCATTTTTTTTTACTAATTGCTGCTTTAACATAGAAAACTTTTTTCTCTCATTTTTATTAGATTTTGATCGCAACCATCACATACTTGCTGCCTACTACGGAGTCCTCTCTGCATGAACTGGATAAGAGGGTAACACATACATACATAGATTTTTTTTTACTATATTACTCATTTAGCTTAGAAAGTAACCTTATACCTATTCATCCCTGTGTGTGTTGCAGCTGGTAGTGTCCCTCCTGTTGTGTCTGTTGGACTGGGTGATGGCTCTGCCTCCCAAGACTCTTCTTCAACCTGTTCAAACACGAAGCCCCCCAGACAAGGACCAGCCTACCAAGACTCTGCTCAGCTGTATTTATAAGGTCTGTGTTTGTGCAGCCCTTGACAAACTCACTCACTCTATTCACATGAATGTTTAGCAGGGATCACAGAAATCAGTGCAGTAAAGTTGAAAATGGGCTATAAATGAGTGGACTTCTGAAATAGTATCCCTTCTCCTTTAAAAATGTGTCTAGGTATTGCATGGTTGTGTATATGGAGCCCAGTCTTTCAACAGTCCCAAGTATTACCCGCTGCAGCTGTCAGACCTGCTGAGTCCAGACTACGACCCGTTCCTACCATTAGAGAGCCTCCGAGAACCAGAACCCCTGCACAGCCCGGACTCTGAACGCTCCAGCAAACTACAGCCTGTCACTGAAGGTAACACCAGAGGCACAACTGTTAAGCCCCTTATTATTGCCATCATTGGGTGTCTTTGCCGATTTACAACATGTAGAAACAAGCATGTGAACATGTATTTTGCTGTTCACATGGTTAGAAATATACAAGACCGCACCCAGTACATATCTATATATAGACTGTAACACCAACGCTCATTGTCACCAATGAGACAAAATGACCTAGAGTCGCCCAAACCACTGCCAATCACTAAAGATGAAAGAAGTTAGGTGTATGTGTATGTATGCGAGTGAACCTGTCTGCATCCGTGTGAGAGTGTGTATTGTCCCCTGCTGTGGTCCACCAGGACACAGTGTCTCATCTAATGACTGGAGCACCCTGATAGACCATGCCTCTCTTTCTCTTCTCTTTTTTGTATTTTCTTGTCTTAACTGTTTCACTTCCTTTCTTCTATTATTCTTTTTACATTATTCCTCTGCTAATATATTTTTGGTTTACTTCACACGGCTTCTATGTTCATTTCTTTTTTCTCTTTTTCCTTTTTTTCCTCTTCCTCCTGAGCTCTCCTGAGGTTTAGGGAGTCATTGAGAATGTCTGGTCAATACATATCTGTACTCTACACACAGCTCTGTCAATAAGGAGCTGTTGGAAAGCGTGTGTGTGCGTGTCACAGTGTGTGTGTAATGATGTTGATTAGCCAGGATCTGCTGGCAGCACAGTGTGTGATGGCATTGGCTTCTTCTCAGCATGGGGCAAACTATGTACAAGCTTGAATGTGTCTGTACCTGTATGAGTTTTTACTGTAATTACTAAAGTTTTGTTGTAAGTTGGAACCTAAATATCAAATCAAAGTAACAGTTACGCCTTTTAGTCCACTGAAGAATAAAAGTTAGAAACATACCTTTAATATCTGGTACCCTATATTTTTTTTCGTAGTAATATATGTCCGCTGTCTGTATTTTGCTTCTCTGCAGTTCGCAGCCGTATTCAGCAGGGCCTCGTTTCCATCGCAGCCAGAACAGTTATCACGCACTTGGTCAACCATCTAGGACATTATCCAATGTCTGGAGGGCCTGCTACTCTGTCTAGTCAGGTACTGTTACTGTGTGTGTCTGATGGTAATAATGGTACATGGATGATGTACTTGTTTTCTGCTAAAGGAAAAGGATGAAGGAAGAAGGATCTAAATGTTTCTCAATACTTCGATTTAAATTTTTGCGTTTTACTGAAGCAGCACTATGTCCATGTTTTCTAGGTGTGTGAAAACCAAGACAACCCGTTCTGTGAGAGTGCAGATCTCGGACCAGAGCTTTTCCATTCACCAAACCTACAGTTTCTGGTTCTGAACGGCTCCACGCTGCTCTCAGTGTATCAGGTAACCTCAGCTGAAAGAAAGTTGCTCTGACAAAAGTTGACCCTTTGTGTGTTTCTAAGCCAAAGCTGAAGTCGCACTACAGTTTATAATCACTGTTTGTCATAAATACTGACTGAGCTCAAACTTAAAAAGCAAGGACAGAAATGTCAATTGCTGAGCATGTTCGTTATTTACTTGCCCCAATGATGCAGCAGATACCCATCTACAGCTGGTACAGACTGTAAGAGCGAAGCTTCTGACAAACACATCTCATGAGTCCTGAAATATTCAGTTTAGTAGATAACAGATTCTATTGATTATTTTAAAAGCCCTCCATGGTTTGACATATTTTATTTATATATATATATATATATTTTAACCCCTTATTCTGCACCAAGCTCCAAAACTTTGGAATTGACTCCTCCCCAGTGCCAGATCAGCAGGTCTGTTGTCAGTTGCCATTTTCATAATTTACTAAACCAGTTAACTGTTTTTCTCTTTATACATTTGTATGCAAAAGTCTGGCCTCCCCTTGACAAATAACACATTTTAGAAACATGTAAACAAATCCTCTGGAGGGTTTGTAACATAAAATGCAATATTTGCAGAAAACATTCATGCATTGTTTCTTTTTATTTGATAAATTGAACAAAAATAAGAAACATTGTGGCATATGCAAAAGTTTGGGCAACCTACACTGTCAGTACATAGTAACTTTTGACAATTACTGACATGCCTCAGGCCTAATAAGCTGATAAACGTCTGATACCTTGTAAAAAGAATCCGAGACTGCAGAACTCTTGCACTTTTTTTTTTTTTTTTGTTAACTATGCATGTTTCCTACTAATATTGTGTTTTATGTTCCATACCCTAAAGAGAACAGGTTTTATTGGTGCTATAACAATAAAATGTAAAAAGTTGACTTACTTACTACGTACTACTAACATTATATATTAATAACTGTAAGGATGTTAACATTCATTTTTATCTTTTAACTGTAAGTCTAAGTGTGGCTCATATACATAATAAATAAATATATATATATATTTCCTATTAAGATCTATGTTGTAATATAAACTATTATTTTTTTTTTGTATTATGTTTTTATATTATATTTTATTTCCTTTAATTTTATTTGTATTTACATACATAATAAATAAATATATATATATATATATATATATATATATATATATATAAGATTGAATAAACTGTTTAAAAGAACGTTCAAGTTTAGCTTTAAGGCAAAATGAAGATGCTGCAACTCAGAATGATTTCCTTAATATGTGGTACATTTAGTGTATAACCATTGTCCCTCGTCTTCCTCTATTTCCCAGATCCGATCTGAGTCCGGTGTACCAGGAGGCGGAATGACAGCTGGTTTGTCCTCTGCTCCAGCTTGCGTTCGTGTCATCATCCGAGATGTGGCTGGGAAACACTCATGGGACTCTGCCGTTCTCTACGGGCCTCCACCATGTTCCCCAAGCAGCCCGACACACACATTTCTGTCACACACACAATCACCTCACAGTGCGAATCTTCATTTACGCACCCCACCAGGAGGTCCACCGAAAAAGATGGGAGTGAAGAGAGAAGACAGCGAAGAAGAGGCCCAGGAGGAGAGGGAGGCAGAGGAAGGAGGAAGAGGGATGGAGAGTGAAAGGCAAGGGTTTCAGGAAGAGGAGGAGGAGGAGGAGGAGGAGGAGGAAGGAGAGGAAAGAGAGGAAAGAGAAGTCAACGAGGCTGAGAAGGGAGATCAAAGAGGAGGTGAAAGAGACGTGGGAGAGGAGGAGCAGGAGGAGGAGAAGAACGAGCATAGGATGGATGGGATGGGTGATCGAGAGGAGTCGGGCTTAGAACAGCTTCTAGCTCCGCCATTGGCTAAACGTGTGTGTCGGGAGGCAGTGCCAGCATGGGACTCACTGACAGAGGGGGACGATGCACTGGATGAAATGCTGCAATACCTGGGATACTCGAGTCCAGAGTGTCTGCAGAGAGCAGGTACACAAACACACACTCTGTAATGATATCCTTTTTGGTTTCCTTTAGACAGTTTCAGTGAGCATTTTACATCCCTCAATCCTTTCTGTAAAAACATAGCATTAACTCAGAGGTGAACACTGACTAACAAAGTCTAGTTACACAATCTTTGTCCTTAAGTTATAAAGAGAACAAAACAGAGAAAAGATTGTTTACAGTTAACGTTGTCTCATGATTGGTTCCCTTAGGCATGCCGCTCAACATACCAGCCCCTCCTCCAGCGTGTGTTTCAGAAAAGCAGGAGAACGATGTGATCAATGCCATCCTGAAACAGAGCGCTGCTGAAAGAGAGTTCGTCCTTCATGTACGTAGTGTCCTTATCCATATGAATAGAATGAGTTTTATCTCTTTGAATCTTTTGAATATTTTGAATTGGTAGTGCCCATCATGTCCCGATGAAGTAGATACTCAAATACTGGTGGCTACAGACTAATACTGCCTCGCAATAATACAGGAAGTAAAAGACAAAGCTGTTTCAACCCTGCAGTCAAACTTACTTTAAGCAAAACGTGTTAATGTTGCAAAACATATAGTGGGGATTTGGTCTGTCAGTAAGGTTAAAACCTAGCTACATCAAAAATGTAATGGGCCAGTGTGCAAGATTTAGTGGCATCTAGCAGTGTAGTTGCAGATTACGCCCCCCTAACGTCAGGAGAAACTACGGTGGCTGGGAAACTCACAAAAGGCCTTATCAAGAGCCAGTGTTTGGTTTGTCCGTTCTGGGCTGCTAGATACTTCCAAACACACTGCACATTACACACTGCACCTTGAATCAACTTGGCACTATTGTTGTTTCTTGTGATAACCATGAATCATTCTGGCAAGTGCACAGATTTCTTAATGCACTAAATAATGGTTCTATAACTTTGATAGTGGCTTTGTTCATCAGTCAGTGCGACTTTTGTGAGTCGATGACAAAAAAATATTATCCAGACTAAGGTCTCATTGCTGTGATATTTTTGAAAATCAATGCTTTCTGGATGCCTCTCTACTCTGGTAGTAATCTGATATGATTTGTTCATATTGGCTTAAAAAAAAAAAAATTCTCAGCCACGCTGCTTTCTCTTTAATTTTCATGATATTTATTATTTTAATCCCTCACATTTTTTGCATGAAACTGAAATGTTGGATGTTTCAGAGAGGCGAGGAGTTGAACATGAGGGCAGTGCAGCAGACTGAACCAGAGACTCAGACACCACAGTCTGCCTTCTACTACTGCAGACTACTGATCAACATACTGGGACTCAACTCCTGGGAAAAGAGGTGAGACCAGACACAGACATAAATATTCTAGAAAGAGATTCTAATCTTTTAAAAACAAACAATAACATTCATATATCAATAATAACATATATAACACTGACAGTCATTTTGATTATGATTGGTCTTTTGTATCTTTCTCTCTTTGTTGTGTCAAACTATAGTGTTTATTCAGATATTTCTTCTTTATTGACATTCTTAACTTGGCATTTTTTATTGTTTAGTTTAGTTTTATGAAGAAAAGAATCAGCATATTGCTGCTGATGCAGATTTATAAGCATATTGCTTATAAATCTGTAGGAAAAACCATGATTAAAGAATTAAGGACTCCGAAGGAGGAATGAGAGTTTTCTGTTTTTGTGTGGGAGGTCTTTTTTTTAAATTATTTTTTGTCTCCCCTAGAACAAACCAAATGCCTCTTGAATGCAAATGAGACAAACATTTCAAATTCAAAGAAGTATTTTGTGCTAATTAGACACCCACGTTTTCCCATTCACATGGTGTAGCATTTCATCTTCTCAGTGACTCTGGGCTAAAATACACAATGTCAAGGTATCACTTTAAATGTGTCTGGCCAGCTAATGGACACTCATCGCTCTTTATACTTTATCCTGGGAATTACACCGTCTGCATTCAGCCTGCACAATAGACTTCTTAACACACTGCGTGCACATGTCTGTGTGCTCGTTTGTGTGTAAGAGAGTGTGATAATGAGTATATAGTACTCTATTGATCAAACTCAACCCATTTGGAGTTAGAATAAAGGGCAGTAGTTGAAGAAGAGAATGGTGGGGAGAGAAGTGGCAAAACAGGATGAATAACACATATGAAGATGGAGAGTGAGAATAAAAAAAAAACTGGACTAAAAAAAGAAATGGAGCCAAAATCCCCAAATCAGAAGGTAGAGCTAAAGAAATTGGGATTGTTGGAGAAGAGGATAGACAGATGAGAAAGAAAGACAAAAAAAGATTGCTCTAATCATCTGTTATTGTCCCCTTACGTCTCTCCAGGTATTCATATGGGACATTACACATACTAAGATACTGACAGTCAACCGTGCGTGTGTGTGTGTGTGTGTGTGTGTGTCCGTCCCCTTTTATGCTTTTCCCTATAATCCAGAGTGTAAATGGAGTCTTTGAGAGCAGAGAATGAGGCCATTACCAAGTATCAGTTTAATAAAGCGCAAATTGCTGTCTCTCTCTCCCTCTTTATCTCCCGCTCTTTCACTCTTTTTTTTTTTCTCTCTCTCTCTCTGAGTGAAAAGAATGACGTGTCATTATCAGTCCACTCCAAGCCTCACTGCTCAAGTCTTGGTTTTGTATCAGCGGTGTAGAGATTGGTGGCTGGTCGCTGGGACATTTTGAATGGTCCATAGACTTGTTAGTTGGTATAAAGGGCTTTTGTTTTTACTAATAAATAGGGTTTTGCCCTTTTCTATTTGGAACCTGAAAGCTGTGATGACACTAGCTGTGGTCATCATGAGATAGTTGCTCATTTACAGGTTTTTCACAGTAATAATGATATGCAGTAATATATATATTTTTCTGGCTAGAGCTGAGGCAACAGAAGTGCTTGTCGGGTGGTCGAACGAAAAAACGCAGTAGTTCCTTCATCTTCTTTATCAGTCTTGTGATCTCTAAAACCTCCATATTCTTCCTTTTGAAATGTTTTTCCATCTCTTTCAAATGTCGAAATGACATCTGACAAATGGTGGACTTGGCAAAGTTGATTTCTATATTTTTAACCAGGTGTCAGAGAATCTAGATGGCCTTATTTTAAGGAGCTTACCAGTCAGTTACATTTATTATCAAAAAGCCAAATATATGTTTGGAAGGTCACGGAAACAGCTCTTGGATTTCAGTTTTCTTGTTCAAAGAATGTTGATGATGCCGACCTGGTGACAATTTTCAATGCAACATTACTAAAAGTTTATTGGTGACTGTGAGGGGGCAGATTTTACATTTATCATGCTGGAGGTTTCGAAATTGGAAAAGGAACAAAGAAACTTCTTCAAAAACCTCATGTTTTACTGACATACAAGCTATTTGGTGAATCATTCTTCTGTTGATGGAAGTTATGTTCCACACACAGTCTATGTGAAATCTGCTGATGTTTTGAGAGTTTACTAACAAAGCTACTTTTAAATTTATCTCTATAAAGCATATATCTTAAAACCTTAAACTTCACCTCTTTTTATGCGTCTATTAGTAAAGGTTTGGCTGTCTTGTTTTCTTTTTCTGAAGCTTTTTTGGTCTTTTTCACCAGAGGTCCTGCCGGCTCTACTTCATGTATTTTATAACAATGATTCCTAACCTGTGCATGTGTCTGTGTCTTACAGAAGTAACTTTCATTTGTTGAGGAAGAATGAGAAGTTATTGAGAGAGCTGAAGAACCTGGACTCACGGCAGTGGTGAGAAAATATTTGAACTGTTAAGCACCTCATGTCATTAACTGCACTGAATAGGATTCAAGGTTCTGAGATTCAGTAAGTTATTCTGTGCCCCATTTCATCCCTTTGCTCTTGACCCTTACCTGATCCCAATCTGGTTGTGAGTGATAATTGATAACATCCTGGTGTCCTGATTCAAAACCCACAAACATCATATAATGGTTTGAGGGAAACTCTGAAACAGACTGAAGGGTTTAGGAGGAAGGACTTGGATAAAACCTTGGGAAAGTAATAAACTTGTAGAAATTTCTAAAATAACAATTTATTTTTACTTGGTCATTATTGGTTTCCTTCATTCTCCTCTAGTCGTGAGACTCATAAAATAGCAGTATTTTATGTGGCTGAGGGCCAAGAGGACAAACACTCCATACTAACCAACACAGCGGGCAGCCAAGCTTATGAAGACTTTGTCTCTGGACTGGGATGGGAGGTAAGAACTAATTGATTTAAGTAATCTTAAATGTGACATTGTCTTCTTTAAAAATTCAAATTGCATGTTGCATACAATTTACTCCATCTGATCTGATCTGCAACTAATATTTGATTCATTATCATATCATTGGTGATTTAACTGTTAAAAGATAAGAAAAGTGACTTAATGGTGTCAGCAGCACAAAATGTTCCTAGAAACAATTTTCCTGATGTTTTTTCTTTTAATATGTCAACATTTGATTATGATGTGCTGGTAAAAGAGTTAAAACTGCAACTTGTTTTTTTTAAATTGTAGGCTTCAAGGCAGTAAAAGACTAGAAAGGGTGCATGTCATCATATGTGCCTGCGTTTGTCCCATAGGTGGACCTTACTACTCACTGTGGCTTCATGGGAGGTCTCCAGAGGAATCGCAGTACGGGCCAAACTACACCTTACTACGCCACCTCCACTACTGAGGTCATCTACCACGTCTCAACCCGCATGCCCCATGACCAGGACCACAACCTCACCAAGAAGGTAACACACACCTATCTGACTGGTCACTTGTCATCTGGGTTTTTTTCTTTACTCTCTTCTGTCCAGCTAATGGAAGGGCACCTAATTGCGTATTTGTTGCTGGGGGAATTTGAACAACTCCCACAAAAAGTGACATTTCAGAATTTTCAGATTTGCTTGGAAACATACCTTCTACCTGTCAAAAATTCTGCATCTGTCTGTCCCATTATCTACTGTATTCTACTCTGAAACTGCAGTCGAGTATGCGGTGAGAGTAAGTAATTAGTGATAATAAGCATACTTATTGTTTTCCTAATTTCACTCCTTTTATTTAATGAGGGGAGATGTGCAGTGAGAGGAGAGGAGGAGGAGGAAACATCCTCTGTACTCTTCTCCATTCCCTTTTGATTCCTCCTTCCTCTCTTCCTTCCGAATCTCTTTCTTTGCCCGGAATGACACTGCAAATGTGCAAAGGTCGCTGCAAACACACACACGCGCACACACACACACACACACACACACACACACACAGCGTCTCCAATGATTCTTAGTAGTAATCATGTCTGTGTTTGTGTGTCGTGTGGGCCTGTATCAGTGTCTAGGCAGGCAGGTTTATTGTGTGTCTGTTTGTGTGTGTATGTGTGTGCGTGTGTGTGTGTGTGCACACCTGTCAACCCCCAGGCACTGGGTGCTCTGCACATGGCCATAATGTCCCTTTAATCAGATCATACTTCCTGCTTCTCGGCCTATCACGTCGCTGCAGGCTCCTGATTGGATTATCAGCGCCTGGTCCGACACCATCCGTCTCCCTGATCAGCTGATGGCCCCATCAAACACGCATACTCGCATACACACACACGCACACACACTATAAACCTGTTTAACTTGACACAAACACACATCCACTAAGGGCTTTATTCACATCAGTCTGCACAAATAACCACACAACTATAAATTTGTGTTAATGTTGGACACAGAAGCACACACACACACACACACACGCAGGTTTACAAACGCATACACTCACAGTTTGACAAATGTGTCCACAAAGAGAGGTTAAACTGACAGACATACACATGTCCATACTGGCAGGCATTTATCATCCATCCTTCTGCCCCCCACACACACACACACACACACACACACACACACACACTTTAGCCCATTGCAGGGCATTTGTCCAGTTTCCACTCTTTGCTGTGTGCTCTGCTCTCTCTCATACCAAATCTGCTTGAAACATGAAACATGATTAAAAGGATTAAAGCTGCATTACACCAACTGATTGTGGCATCAGAGATGACATCACTCTGATCGTTTTAAAATATTGATAAGGCTCAGAGAAGCACATCAGACAGCAAGACTCCTCTTTGCCTTATTATACTGTGCCACCTAATTGTTCTGACACCCAAAAATACAGCTCAAAGGTCATAATTCAAACTCTCCAAATGCGATAATGGCAGAGCCGTGAGTTGTGCATCTTACTGACACTTTGAATTGCAAGCGCCGCCAGAGGAAAGGTAGGAAGCGCCTCTAAAAGATTTATTTTAATTAGAACTTGATAAATACATTTTTATTCCTCATGTGTTTTCCAAACTCTACCTAATATATCAGTAGTCAAGAAAATATCAGGCTAATTAAACCTATAACTCAAATTTTAAATTCAAGTAGTCATTATGGCAAGTGGGTGAAGTCAATTTCCAAACATGATGAAGGTAAATCATGCAGTCCCACAGGCCTCTATATTAATTAATTCATCCTCAGGCTTATATGAGAATTGAGTGAGATGTAACAAACAAAATTACAGTACATTTCATTAAACTGATACACTGTGTGATGAAATGTTGGACATCTTTTTGGGTCAACAAATCCCTTCCGTTTATGCAGACAAGTTATACTTCTTCAAAAAATCAGAGGACAAAATGCACGACTGATTCCAGTTCAAACACACATTTAGAAGGAAATATCTGTAATGTGTTTGTCTCAGGGCCAAGGCCAAGAGCGGCAGACATCTGAAGGTGTGTGACACACCACACAAGTAGAGAGACGTCTGTGTGGGGTTGTTTGTGTGTGTTTTGGCAGACATCAAGGTAATGACAGAGCTGTCAGCAGCTCTCACTGTAGCCCACCAAGTGAATATGAATCACACACACACATAGAGACACAGAATCACACTACATCAGACTTGATCCCATCTGTCTTTCAGCCCATACTCCATCTTTCCGGAGCTTCACTCCGTCTTCGTGTCCACTCTCCATCTTCACACACTCACTTCATCACCCCCAGGGCCACCTATAGCACATTCACACACAAAATCAAAAGCCTTGGGTTTATGATGGATACAGGCCATCTACCGTCTGTGTGTGTGTGTGGTTGGCTGTGGTTGGCATTGACTTAGTTTGTGTTGTTTATGCTACAAGAAAGAAAAATGTGAGATGTTTATTCTGTTTTGATTCTAGGATTCATTTCTCTTTTCTGTTCCTTCCTCTTCCCACTTGTCTCCCCCTCCCCCTCCAGCTTAGACACCTGGGTAATGACGAGGTCCACATTGTTTGGTCGGAACATTCCAGAGACTACCGTCGAGGGATCATCCCCACTGAGTTTGGAGACGTGCTAATCGTCATCTACCCCATGAAGAACCACATGTACTCCATCCATATACTCAAAAAACCAGAGGTACAAACAATCTTCAGAATTTTCATATTGGACTCAAACTGCCAGTTGTCAATATGTTGTGCAGTTATTAAGTATCTCTGCATTTCATTGTTTCCTCGGAATCCTTTAAACTCATCGTTAACACCAAGGATGATAATCAAATCCCCCTCTGGGCTAATCAGTAATAATTGTACATATCACCTGTTGTCGAAGTGTAATTGTAGTGTGAATCATTGGCCAATCAGTGTAATTTAGCCACAACTCTATTGGTGGCAATACTGGAACTATTGGATTGCTATTTATAGATATAAATATAAATATAGAGAGACCAATCAGTCATCCAAATTAAACAGTTTAAAGTGACATAGTGGAGGGAATTATGTCATAATGATTGAATCCTTATATTCTATGGATATTAAATGGGAATAAAATGGTACGTGTACAGTGTTTTGCTACCAGACTATACAGATATGCATCCAAATTGACCAACAATCCTAGAGAGAGTCTTGCCCTGAGTCTTGCAGCTCTGGCTAATGTATCAGTCTAAAACACACAGACGTTAATACCACAGCACTGATAGCATAATTCTATTTCAAACAAGACCTAACACAATAAAATGCTGCTTTTTCTGTATGACATAGATACCACAGCACTAATAACATAACCTTATTCTGTGTCATTCATTCTACAAGCAAAAATATTGAATTATCATGAATCCAAAAACAAGTTAGATAAGATATTCTCTGTGTTGTCGTCCTGAAAGCACTGTATTCAGTCACAGAGTGCATGGCTCAGAGACCTGGTCTCCAAATAAATTCAATAAAAAGCCTGACATTATTCTCTTTGGTGGATTCCACAAGCAAAGTATGGAATTAAATCAGAAAGCCATAGCCTGAATCTGATAGTACATGGTTATGAAGAAACTGTCATGTCAGTCATTACATTGAGAGATGTATGTCTTCCGTAGGCTTCTATAGACAGTAAGTTAATTATTAACTATAAAAAGAAAAAAATAGTCATTCCTTTTTCCTGCTTTAAAGCCCGTTTCACTGCTCGTCTTTGTGTCTGTAGGTGCCATTCTTTGGTCCGCTGTTTGACGGTGCTTTAGTGGACATGAAGATTTTGCCCACCATGGTGAGAGCCACAGCTATCAACGCCAGTCGAGCTCTCAAGTCCCTCATTCCCCTATACCAAAACTTGTATCCTTTGAAAACCCTACTCTAAATATGCATAAACAGGATTAGAAGCCAAAGGTAGGTCACAGAAGACATTGTTTTGTTCATTGCTTTTGTGTCTAACTGGCTACCATGGTCAGCTCTTTAAAAGTTAGTTGTTTGCAGGCTCTCTTGAGCTACTTGAACTTGCTGGAATATAGTATCTGTAGCATTGTGTCGACTGTTGAAATCCTTACACATGTATGTGTGAGCAAGTATGCTGGTTATCACTCAGCTCAAGTGTTAAGAATAGCAAATCAATGTCCAGTGGTGTTCGGCTTTCAGAATATAAGTGCTCGTGTGATAGAGCTGTATTTAGTCGGCTCAGAAGTGCCATATATCAAGTGTGTGAGTTTGTCGTGCACGGCCGAGCAGACAAAGTTGTGATACACAGTTGGCGTGTGTACGTGTCTGCGCGCATCTGTGTGTGCAGGAGAGAAAGAGAAACAGACAGACAGGTGTGCATACAGTTTGTCTGCTTGATCCGATGCGATGGTAGTTTGGTTGGAAGAAGCCCAGCGGTCAATACTTATCGATGACTCTCCTCTCGAACGCTGTTTCTAAACGAGGGGCTTCGCTCTCTGGTCTTGCACACAGACACACACACTCAAATACAGACATGTGTCCACACTCATACACACACTAACAAACAGGGACAGAGGATGACACTCACATGGACACAAGCCCCTCAGAGGAACAGCAGTCTACACACACACACACCATTGTGAGGTGACAGTGTCCCCTGTTGAGGCAAGCTGAGCTACTGACTGATCATTGGAATTTCTTCTAAACAGCACTTAAAGCAATTTGATCCCCTAATGATACTGCCTTCCTGTCTCCCTGCTTGTCTGTCTGTCTGTTGTTTTCGTCTTTCCCTTCATTTCCCTCGTATCCAAATAAGTTCCATTTAATTGCATTGCAAGGTTTAGGATTGTGACTGCGATTGTTGATCGTATGAATTCTGGGTGAGTGCCAGAAGCAGTGCTTTAGGAAGGATACAGTAGAGTCTTCTGGAGCATTTGGAGATCAGGTTATTATACCAGCAAAGTCATCTGTAACCTGGGATCACGTATGGCATACTCAGAAGCATAAAACCCTTTTGTACATCTTCTCACCGAGCTTCTGCATACTCTAAATGAAAGATTGATATTCTCTGCCTCAGAGTATATATAGAGAGAATATTCTCTGTTTCATTATGAAACTATTATATAGCATAGCACTACTATCACTGAAGCACTTTATTGGTGAATGGATTTAAGGTGCCCTGTGGGGTGTTTTTGTAAACAAACAGAAGTTATGTTGACATTCAGTGTGTGTGGTTTTTGTGTGTGGGTTGTATTTTATACTGCTACCAAAATCATAAAAATATAGCTCCAAAACACTCTTAGTGGTCAGAAATTCCACAGGATACCCTTTTCTGTCTTTTTCTGTTGTTCTTAGATTACATTGATAATATTTTTGTTTCTTTTCTTAAAGAAAAGCCATTTTATCCTGTTATTCCCTGTGTATCTTATCTTAATTCTCCACCTGCTATCCTGCCTCCTTCCTCTGGTCTTTTTCTTTGTCCTTGTCTATTTTGTCCCTCATCCCTTTCTCCCATCCCTCCTTCACTGTGCTCTATCTCACTTTACTCTCCACTTGCTTCTTGTCCTTCATCTCTATGTTCTCTTTCTTCCCCTTTGTCCAACCTTTCCTCTCCAATTTTTCTCCCAACCTTTGTCTTTCTTCCCTTTCCCCTCTCTCCTCTTTTCAGAGAGATAATGTGAGTGTTAGAGGTGATGCTAGTCAAGGAGGGAGCAGGAGGGCGGGGGGAGGTGGAGTTTGAAGAAGCCATTTTGCTCTGCCATGTCCACCCAGTGAGACAGAGACTTTAGAGATTGTTAGGACCAGTGTGGGACGGTAGCTCGTAGCTAACACCCCCCGACCCCATTGTGTTTTTGTGTGTGTGCGTGCTTTTTGTGTGACTCCAGCAATCCTGTGCGAGTGTGCAGACATGTAGACATCCTTGCAATTGTGGGGGCTTTTTGCCTACATTTTGTGAGGCTGTGTGTATATCCATATACGTACTGTGTGTGTGTGTGATGATGTGCACTTGTCTGATGACACACATGTGTGGCGCATGCTCGTTTTGAGGTGTTTGTGTGTGTCTGCGAGTGTCCTGGTGTGTATTGATTGGTGGTAGCAGCAGGTCGATGTCTCTGACAGGCTGAATTACAGTAATCAGTCATTATTGACTCCCCATCTCTCTGCTACACACACCTCTGCTCTCTCCTCTCCCCTTCTGTCTCTCCGTTTCTCCCTCCCTACTATCCCCTCTACTCCACTCACTCCTCCTTTCTTTCTTTTTCTCTCTCTCTTCTATTTCTCTAGTTCAGCATGTATGTCTAAACATCCATCTAGGTCTTGTTTGAGCATCATTTCTCTATCTCCCTCTCTAATTCTGTCTCTGTATTATCTCTCTCGTCTCTCTTAACTCCCTTATCTCATTGCATTTGTTTCTCCTCTTATCTCTGTTATATGTTCTTCTTTTTCAGATTTCTTTACTTTTCAGTCTTCTTTCAGCTTTATTTTAACTCTCCCATCTTTTCTGCTCATTCTCATTGTCCTCTGAAACCCTGAAAAATGTTTTAGCTTATAAGAGTAAATTAATGTTTAGGACAACAGATGATATGGGTGTAAGAAAATATTAATAATACACTTAGTATGGCAATATTATGGTTTTTTGATACTTTGTAATTAATAATTTACATACAAAGATTCATAGGAGTGGTCCATTTTGTGTGTAATCTATGTACAGGCATTTGACACTTCGACTCAAATGCTCAGATTTCACAAAAAGTAGTATAATATTGGACTGTGATAAATGCAAAAGCAGATCCCATTGTTCTGATTGTTTAAAATTGTACTTTTTAAATGCATACGGTGGTGTCTTCTTTATGATATGACGTTTTTTTTTAATTTAGATTAAAAAATTGCAATATATTTCATCGTAACCCTTGTATCGTGATACGTACCGTATTGCCAGGTTCTTGCCAATACACAACCCTACATGGTCAGATAGTACAATACAATGCACTACAATTTCAGTAAAACATGAAATGTCAGAGTGCTTTGTAAGCTGTATTGCATCTGAAGCTAAAATTGTCAAGTTTGTTATCTGGCGCCATAACTACTGAATTTAAAAAAACATCAAAGCAAGACATGAAGTACAGGAGCAGTAGCTGAGGTACAGCCTTATAGATAAATATAATGCATAGCTTTTACTTTTTTGTTTTCAAATAGGACCAGCGATTCCTGGACATTAGCGCACACGCTGCACTTGAGGGTTAGATGCCCTTGTGTGCCCCTGAAGTGCCTCATCAAGCTCTGTGTCATCGGTTTTTCAGTGCTGCATTGTAACATCAAGTATCCTCACAGAGGGGCTGACACAGAAGCAAATGAAGGAAGAAAGATGGAAAGAAGGCTGGCAGGGCTAAGTGTGTTAGTGGTTAACTGGCATTTTTCTCTCCTTTCTTTTTCTGTCTCTCTCTCTCTCTCTGTCTGTCTTCCCTCCCTCCCTCTCTTTCAGTCCCCTGGCCCTCAGGGCGGTCCATCTGCCTTCTCTCTCTCTCTGATCTTTCATTCACCATGACTAGAGCCATCCAACAGCACACACACACATACACAAACAGTGCCAGGCTGTTGGGGCAGCTGTGTGTAAGCACAGCTCTATCTCACATATCAGCTCATTGCAGCAAGAAATGCAATCCAAGACTCCCCAACACACACACACACACACACACACACACACATCTCATAGCCCTCACCATTTTCACGTCACAATGAAATGCAACACACACTGAGCTTTAAAACTTCTCTACCCTCTGATGACTCGTACGCACAACGGCAAATCTTTGGTCAATGTAGAGAAAGATGGATTCCTCCTGTAGCCCACCACAGTGAGATCAATCCCTCTGAACTTATAGATTAGACCAGAGGAAAGTAAGGAGCAGACTGCTGAGTGATATATTGGTGTCACTAATCCCTAAGCGTCAGCTCCTGAAGCTATTGCTGCGTACAGATCATATCAGGGAAATGGAGAATTCCGATTTTATACCTCAAAAAGTGGAAAAGAGTAGCTCCTAAAGGGAAATTTGAAACACTCATCCCCGATTTATCCAGTAGGACAAGAAAAACTAATGTGATGCCAACTTAAAAATACGAATCAAAATACAAAATTTCAGCTGAATCTTGAACGTGACCATTCTTTCAGTGCATGTTTAAGGAATAAGACTTATTACTAAGGCACGTTTTACTCCACTTTGAGTAAGGGTTGCTAAAAACTCGGCCTGTTATAGGAAAATGCTATAGATTTGTGAGCCATTTTCATAGCTGCAACAGAAAGGAAAAGTATCAAGAATTGGTCGTTGTAGTCTTTTGATAGAATTTGATAACAATTGGAAAAGTATTGAATAGCGTCATCCTTATCCTTCGAAGCAGAGATGACAACATAATAGGCTAATTATAGAAAGTTAATGACTTCATTAAATAAGCATCAGGCAAAAAAAAAAATTAAATTGGACCACGACAATTACAACCCAACTGGGGAGCAATAATAAATAAAATCATTTGATTGAAATTGGTCCTTTCAAACATTATACCAAAATACAAATAGTCTGCTTGGCATGTGTCTCTGCCAAAGAAGTATAATGTCCGCATTAAAATCCTAAAAAAAAAACATCTACTCCTTCTACCTCATTAAAAGAATCTCTGAATATGCAAATTTTGTTCATTTCTCAAGTTTTGTTGCTGGACACAAGATGTCTCCTACTTCACTGTAAGGTCCATTCTCAGTGGATGTGCACTGGTGCCTTCACGTTTCTACATCACACTGTACAAGTCACATACTGGACCAGGACCGACTTCCAAACTATTTGTGATGACACAATTCATGCTGGTAGGCCCCACTCTTAAAAATCAGATTTTGAGTGAGTTTAGAGAAACTT